TGCATGGGGCTCCCAGCAAGACAGGCAGGTGCATTTCCACAGGAGCCGATTGCTCCCGGCGCCACGGGGCAGGCTGAGCAGCACAGCAGACGTCCCAGTTCCAGTAGAATAAGAATTAACCTTTGATTAAAACCAAATAAACAGCCTGACAGCTTGGAGCCACTGACCCAGGCAAAGCACATACGACAGCAACGCGGAGCAAGCGTCTTGTCAAGCCTCTGTTGTGTGTCCTGGCAAATGGGCTGTAATTTCCCGGAGTGCCTCGGCCAGGTGGGCTAGGCAGTGGCTTTGTGTTGAGTGGCGATTCAGAGGGGAAAACATCCCCACTGAGGAACTTCAGGGACCTCACAGACATCTGTCCTGATGGCTTGGGAGGTTTTTTCCTTTCTTGCTCCAAGGCAACTGATCCAAATGCTAACCACCTTGCTTCACCTTAGCCAGTGAACTTAATGAGTTCATGGCCTTGGTGGTTTGGTTGTGGGCAGATGCCATGAGGCTTTTTGGGGTATTTGTTGGGTCAGCTTTTTTTTCTTCCATATATTCTTGTAGGATAGAAAGGCACTGAGGCACTGCACTCCAGCTGAAAATGCTTTTCATTGCTTGGGGATTCAAAGCAGCCTCCCCAAACCAGATCTTTGCTTAAAAAATAAAAAGCCTTTTAAGTTGCTTGTTTCTCTCTGTGTATTTTATCCCTTCCCTGAGCTCTGCTCTAACATTAAAGAGAAATGAAAAACCATCTAATATCGCAAGCAGGTTGCATCCTGGAGGAAAGATCTGAGCTGGGCTGGTGGTTGCGGTGACAGGGGATGGTGGCAGAATTACTGTGCACTTAATGAGCTGGAACCCATCTGTGACCTGAGGCTGCAGGAGAAAGAGGGAAGGAGAAGGTATTGGTGCAGTAGGGAAGTTTAATCTTCATTGTGCCCCTCAAGGAGACCTGAGGCTCCTGTCTCCTCCCGTACCTTTTGATATGCAAGCTCGGGCCAGAAGGGAGCCAGCTTAACACATTCCTGCCTTTCCCCTCCTCGGAGCAGGCTCGGCTCTACCTGCCAGCCAGACCCCTGAAATTTGCACCAAGCCAAGCCCCAGACCCATTGGCTAAATTAGCTCACTGGGTTGTCACTTCAGATTAATTCCTGTCGGGGGAGATGGTCTTTAATGAGACTGGCCCTGTGCGATGCCTGAATAATTGTCTGGTCCCTCTTTGTTTGTACTTCCATCCCCTCCGTGTTGGATAAACATCCCCTGCTGTCTCCAAAACTCATCTGGGCTCCGGAACCGCTGCCGCTTGCCTCATCAGCCAGCCAGAGCGGCGTTAATGAGAGCTGCGGCCGTGGGTAGCCGAGCTCACCTCACCGTGTGGGGAGGTGACAGCTAACAGAGCTGTTTGGACAGACGTGGGACAGGGGCGTTGGGAGGAATTTAATGATGGTGATGAGAGCGGAAGGTTAACTCTGCCGATGGCCATTGCAACACAGAGAGAGAGGTTTCCTTGCGGAGGCCCACGGGCTGCAGATCTGTATGGCTTCATTTCTGAGTTGTGCTTTTCCTCTCCTCTGAGGCTGCTTTGGCAGCGTCTGTCAGCTGCTGTCTGTCTGTGGCACACGGAGCTGGACACCCCTCCGAGGGCGGGCGGACCAGGGCAGGGACATCGCTCCCATCACACCAGGCAGGGGTGGTACGACTCGAAAGGGAGGATGAGCAAACAGTGCACCAGCCCCCAGTCTTTTACAGGAACGCTGAGCTGAGAACACCGCTAACTTGCACTGCTTTCTCCATTCGTGCACCGCCGTGGCTTGGGGAACCCACGTGCGTGGCCCTTGGCCCGTGAGGAACCAGCCTAGCGAAGCTGGATGCATTTTCCAATGCTTGTAAGCAACCCTGTGATAAAATAAACAGCTAGTTTGGGCAGCTAGAGTAGAACAAACTTGCAGAGCAAGGTAATCCACCCTGCCCCATTCTCATCAGGAGTGGGGAACATCCATCCCACAAGCTTGTCTCCTCCCATTTGCAGCAGTAGCCACTGCCTGAAAAAGAGTATAAAAATCAAAACAGACACATGTAGTATTGCTTTCTCTGCCTCCTGATATTATAAAGCCTTTTATTTATTGGGTGCCAGGTTGGGAAAGGCTGGGAATTCAGGAAGATGCTGTACTCCAGGTAGTGGGGGCCCTCGCAGCAGCCCAGCCCTGTGCTCTGGGAGGTGAACAAAATCAATTTTTCTTCTGCAGATGCAACCATGGCTTCAGGCAAAGCTTCTCGGGAAACAGAGCAGCTGTCGCCTCGGGGGTTTGCCTGAGGGCTGCACCTTGGGGCTGGGGGGGGATGCCGAGGGCTAG